ACAGTTGGCCTTGGCCCATCGATCCAGCCTGTCCAGGTCCCTCTGCAGAGCCTTCCTACCCTCGAGCAGATCAACACTCCTGCCCACCTTGGTGTCGTCTGCAAACTTACTGAGGGTGCACTCGATGCCCTCATCCAGATCATTGATAAAGATATTGAACAGAGCTGGCCCCAATACTGAGCCCTGGGGGACACCACTTGTGACCGGCCGCCAACTGGATGTAACTCCATTCACCACCACTCTCTGGGCCTGGCCATCCAGCCAGTTTTTTTACCCAGCAAAGAGTATGCCCGTCCAAGCCATGAGCAGCCAGTTTCTCCAGGAGAAACCTGCCCTGGTTCACCAAAGGGTGCCCGGGAAAGGCTGGTGGGGCTGGATATGGTTAGGGCCACCCTGACAGTGACAGGCACCCAGAAAGAATGAGCTGAGGGGGATGCTGGGGGACAGAGATCCTCTGTCACTGCAAGTTTCCTCAGGAAAAAAGCTATTTCATTGAGCCCTGATTTTTTTCCCCTGATTCGATGTCTCTGGTGCTGGGTGGCCATGCCAGCACTGCCAGTACTGCACCGGGGGTCCAGGAAGCCCATGGTGGGTCACATGGGCCTAGAGCAGGGATGTGGTGGCCAAGGACCAGACCACTCAGAGCCCTGAGCCAAGGCTGCTCCGTGCCTCGGGTAGCCAGCAATGGTTTTATCTGATTTTTTTTTTTAACAAAGTGAAACATTCCCACAATCCCCACCTTCTCCATAAACACAGCCCTGCAGGGTGGATATGCTCGCCCGAGCCTGACCAGGCTACCAAATGCATCCCTCTGTTCATGAGTCAGTCACCAAAACCGGGCTCCCAAAACCCTACAGAGGAAGAGTCTGAGGCATCCTGCAGTTTTCACCCACTTCAGTCGGGGGGAGTGAACTTCAGAGCTGCTGAATACTCAAGACACTTGATTTTTGGTGACTGTCTGTAAGATTAAGAGCCAGAACTCAGCACTGAAGATCTCAGGCATGCAGCTGGATTAATCAGTGTTGACCATTAATTGAACATCCCAGGAGGAACAGTTTGCTCTTGTTATTGCCAGGTAGCACTCCTAGAAGTGCTGATTTGTAGTCCATGTGCCTCACTCTGAGCTAGGACACAACTCTGGTCCTCTGCTCTGCTGTGCTTTCTAGAGCCCTCCCGGCTTACACTCTTCTTCTTGGCCACTAAAGGTGTGGAAAAAATTAATCTACATTTGTATATCCCTGCCTCCACAAGTCAGCAGGACACCTGAACAAAAACCTTAAACAGGGAAGGTACCAGTCAGTGTACAGCTGGAACGTACTCCACATGAAGGTGTATGCAACATTGGCAAGCCAAATTTCTGCCCATAATGTTACTTTAATAGTCCACAGTTTTACAGCAACATATGTTCAAAATTATAATTTCCAGAAAACTGCACAAGACTTAGGAAGAATGTTCCAGAATGTTAAAAGAGCTCTTCAGAAAAATACAACGTAATAACATTTTGCCAACTCTTTAAATGTATTTATTCATGTTTAGATTTTCCATGCTATAAATTTTTATTAAAAACATGTCATTAGAAATAAATAGTACATTTACAGTCATAAACAAACCGGTAGTTTTTACACACACTAATGTTGGGTTTCCTCTTACAAAACTGGAAGTGTATTCCACCATCTAATTTTTTTGTTTATACCTGATATAAAAGGATAAAGTTACTGCATGAAGTTTATACTTATTGTGGGTTTTGTATGTCCTTAGACTAGATACACAGAGGGTTTGTGTCTGTTTTCCAAATAATATTTATATGGGAAACGCAGCCTTCTGTTCTTGCTATTGATTTTTGATGTGGTAAATGAGCTTAAATACTGCAGAAAAAAAATATAATTATAATAACAAAGATTAATATATTGGTTGCTTTTTCCTGCTTGCTCATGGGAATGACTGATTTGTATGAAAAAAGAAATATGCTTGTACCATAGAAAGGCTCGATAATACCAGCTGGTTAAAGGAAAAATACTTTTTTTTTAATTCACCAGAACCTTATTTTCATTAGCTATGTGAAAATGCGTGGCCTGGTTTCTCAGATACTAGGAAAGCAGAATTCCTCAATGCTGTTCTCCTTTCTGTTTTCCGTTTCCTGCAGATTGAGTTGATGATACTCAAATGTCACACGGTTGATGTGTTTGCCGCTGGAGACCATTCGCAGCACGGTATTGTCACAGCCAATCTTCATTTGGGCTAATTAGGGAAAAGAGATACAGAGGAGATATAAAGATACACTTTTATGAGAGTGAGGGAAAAGAGATGTATAGTTTTGGGAATTACAAAGCACCGATACATACAATTTTGGAAACAAAGCAAGTTTGTGTGTAGTAATGACCAGCCAGTGGTGGCATTGCTGACTAAATACCTTCTGTTGCATTTGTTAGTTTTACTTTACAATGGCTTGGGTATTTAACTAAGTGTTGTAACCTTAACTCATGCAAATGCCACTCCCCATCCACCCACAATCTCACTTATGTATAGATAGACACAACACAGATGTCTGTACATGTTTGCATTTGGGAAGGTATGCTACTGTTAGATACCACGAGCGATGGGTAAGGGTAATGGCACCCTATCCTGCAGATATACAAAATCAAAAATTTTGAAATATTTCCTTTAGAGGGATGAGTGGTTTTGTGCATAAGGAGGTTCTTCACAGTAACAAAGGCATGTGAGAATTCCACCAAGACAAATTCAAATGGCAGTGCCCAGCAATATGGACTCACTCTGGGGGAAATCAAGCATATCACTAACCACTGATTTAGATGAGCCATTTGAGCGGGGGTTTGGCAAAGCCTGTTTCATTTGGGGAACTTGGAGCACCTTCCTCACTGGAGGAGAAGTCTAGTGGGTCCAAGATGGGATTTCCATTCCTTCACAGCGCCAGGAAAGCTCATTTTAATCTCATCACAGTTCTCGGTATTCACTCAGCACCAGTGCTTGCCAGTTAAAGCTTTAAACAGTGCCTGGACCATTAAGTTGTGGTGTGATGAAAGGCAAGGGAGACCACAGAGGTGAAGTGCCAGGCATGTTCCTGCCCTCCAACCCTGCGGAAATGCCGCTTCTCTGGTGCACCCATTCATACTCCCAAGGTACAACACATGTGCCACAGGGACAGGTCTGTCACATCACTGCGACTTCATACTCTGCTGTACTGAATATTAGGGAAACTGGGAATTCTTATTTTCATGGGGAGAAAGAGGTCACCGACCCGGCATGATAGTGAAATGGGTTCAGAGCTCCTTCAGGGTTCAAAGCAGAGAGTGGGAGCTCTGAGGCTTTTGGGGTATGTGTTGCTCCTGCAGCAGAAAAGGAGGCTTTGGAAACACTAAGTAAGTGAGAAAAAAACTCCTTAACTGAAAATGCAACCGCTCTGCCTTCATTTGTTAGGAATTTCCAGGCTCATCTATCTGTTGACACTCTAATAATCATATGTGTCATAGGACAAGCATTTTAAAAATATGTATAACAAGCTTGTTATAATGATTACTGCAGGGGCAAGTGAAGGTGGTCATGGGTGTGCTGTATCACACAGCCCAGCTGCAGGCTCGAGTAGCTTTAGCTCTCATGTTCTGCTACATGTGAAGTTCACCAGTCTAGCAGGAAATCCAGGAGATTTCTGCACAACTCCCTCTGGTTAATTATTTTATCATGTGGAGGTAAGTGGAAGAAGGAGTTCTTACCAGACCCGTGAAAGGAATGACAGAGATCAGCTAGTGGAAACATCTTGGATGGGTCTAAGCCAGTTCCTCCTAGCAGCTCTACAAAATCTCCCACTCCTGCACAGCCTGCTGATGGTTTCTAAAAAGGCAGAGATTAAAAGTTATTTATCATTTATATCTACAAAAGGTAGCAGTTCTCTAGACATGATTGCAGCCAACAGTAGGTTTTAGAAGTCCTCTGTGCTCAAACCTGTGTGAAATCAGGCTGTTCTCATCCTGAGCACTACTTCAATTTGACATTAGTCAGTTAATTTCCTTAAGGGATTCCAAAGAAAGACCTAAGTAGGCTCTGAAAATTACTGACAAGTAGTTAAGGTGTTGATTCAACTACTTTTAGTGCAAATAAGCAATCTGATTCTGGATGCATAGACCTGTAATCAAATTAATACAGGCATGGGCTGCATGTGTGCCCACACTCATCTGGCAGGCAGGAACTTAAGTTCCACTATACCATACTTATTCATAAGCAGTAAGTGTTGCTAAAATGCGCTATTCTGGCAAAGTTTAATTAAAGTAGGAATTAACCAAAAGAGTAGTTTTGTATGACAACAATGACTCACTGTATATTAGACCCACAAGTGTTCTTTTGCTGAAAATTAATGCTGTTTGCCAAAGACATCTTGCACGGACACCTTGTGCACCTTTGGGCTGTCACCCATATGCTGCTATTTAAGTGCCCTATTTCTTTATTGTCCTCCTGCTGTTGTCCCTTTTCTGCCCACTGCTGAATAAGTCAACTCACCTGCCCATCTCTCAAAGCCTGGTTTGCTCAGACACTGACAGTCCCCATGAAGGACCTAGGGTGCTATTCTCACTGGCAGCAGAAAACAAACTTTCTTGCTCCTATTCTTCCAGATATGTTGGAATTCACACCTTCTTAGACCTCCCAGGCACAGGGTGCCACCAACAGCTCTGGTCCTCTCCTGTCTGGTCGTCACCAAGCACCAAACGCTGTGGCCAAACCCCAACCCCATGCTGTGCATCAGAGCAGATGGAGCAGAGGATGCCCAGCATGCTGAGCAGGGAATCGGTTGTGAGCACGTTTGTATTTTCTCCATGCTAATACCTCACTACCTAACCCATGTCTCCTTTCTCTGTTCAGAGCGGTTGCTGCTTTCATTAGTTTAAATACAGACAGACAGCTCTCCAGGAGAGCACTCCTTTCTTTCTAATGAAATTCTTACCCTTTGTTATGGCAAGCAATATTTACATGCATTAATGGTACTTTGCATAATTTGATGCCTCTGCAACATTACAGAGACAATAGTGACAGAGGCAGATCCAGCCCTCATGTCTGGGGGGAAACCAGAGCCCTCAGCGTGCACTCAAGTGGTCCGGAGCACACATGCCTTAGCAGCCAGTGCCACAGGCTATCCCCGCTTCACTCCATCCCTCTCCTGTGCCCAGGAAAACTGCACATGGTAGTAATTTCTTAGGAAACAAACAGCTCACCTTTAAAAAGAGGCCATTTAAATGTCCCAGGATAAGATCAGATATTTTTATCACCACTGGGTAGATTATGGAGAAGCTGCAGTTTCTGTGCTGATGAGGAATGACCATGGTAAACCTTCCCGAGGGAGTCTGAGAGATGACATTGCAAGCTGGGGCACAGGAGAAGGTACAAGAGTTACTTGTGCAGTCATCACTGCATGGAGCAAAATGATGTACTTTCAATACTAACAAAGAACAGATGATTTAATCACTGAGAGTTACAACCAAATGCTGAAAAATATGCATATGGCATTTTCTGGTGTTCTTGCATATCATTTGTTCCCTAAAAATTCCCTGCCCGTTGCTTACCATGTAGCATGAAGTCTGGCAGAACTTGAGGGTGAAGCAGTCAATGGGAGAGCTCACACCCCAAATCCATACATCAGGGGCTCATGTTGTCGGGGGCTCATACTGTTTGCCAGTGTGAAGGAGGCTAAATATGGATGCAGGGCTTTTGTTTAGCTTTGACTGGTTATCGCCTGATATTGCCAGCAAACCCCTAAGTCCTGTTCTGCTCCCCTTAACTGGAGTTCCTTACCCTGCAAAACATCCCATTGAAACTAGAGCGCATACATGCTGATTTTATCTTAAAGTTCAACCTTAACAGTTCAGGTAAGGGAGTAGCTTATAATCTGTGTGTGTAACCCAAGGGATCCTCCTTGCAGACCTGGAGGCCTGCAGCTGCTTCAGTAGGCCAGTGAAGGACACCAGCCACCTCCAGCTGCTGCACACAATAATCACATCCACGGGCATGAAGGCACACCAGCGTGGAGACCCAGCTTGCAGGCTTGGGTCTGAACAACTCAGGGTAAGGACAGGGCAGACATGCCATCATCTTCATCCTTTGCATGGTGGGGCAGATAACAATTATTGTTCAGGCCAGTCTGATTTAAATGTCCTGTCCCCTCTTGGAAAAATGATGCAAGTGACCATTATTTGTGCCTTGCCAGCTCAGAGGCTTAGGGAAATAACTTGCAAATAGATCCTTGGGATCATATATCACTCATAACTATCACATAACTATTCAATACACTGTTTTTGCCGTTGAACTTTTTCAAATATTTTTTCGTCATTGTTCACACGTCTAGAAATTGCTGAGATTAAACTCCCTAAATTAATACTATTTGTTCTAGCCAAATGTGAATGTGACAATATTAGATTGGAAGAGATCTTCTTTGAAAGAAAGGGCCTTCTGGTCCTGAATATTGAAGCCATGTCTAAGTTATCTGTTACACTTCACTTACTTTTCTTTTTCTTGAGACACAGACTAAGCCTGAGTCAAATCCTCGGGGATGCAGGTGTGTGTGCCTCCGCTGGTGTTACTGGAGCCGTGTCAGTGCAGATGCCAGCGAGATAATTCAATGCAAACCAGCACGTTCATTTTGCTTCCTGCCCCAAACACAAGCCCATTTGAAGGTATAAAAGGCAGACTCACGAAAGAGGTTGGCGTTTTTCTTGACTGTGACGGTAAATCCATTGCCTGGCTGGTGAATCCTGAAGAAGATCATTGCGACGTTCTGAGATGACCTGATGCTCCTCTGAATATTGCCACTTTCACAAAAGTCTATGTATCTTTGGGAAGTGGGGAGGGGATGGTCCAAGGAACTGGGAAATTTCTCTCCTTTGAGTATCCAGCCATCAAATACCTACAGGGGTTCAATAATTGAAAACAAGGCTTTTGTTTATCGCTCTGTTAGCAGAGAACAGAAACATGAAGTATTACAGACACTGTTTTATTTTGACACCAGATGGCCTGTTCAAAGCCACCAATTAAAAACAAAAATTCTTCGTATTTATCAATTTCCTAGCATTTAACTAATTATTCAAGCTTCAATCCGTATTTTGGAAAGGGTTACATTTAAATTTTAATGTTGTCTTTATTTCCTTCAGGTGACAATTTTGGTGACCTTTTTTTGAGGGAAGCAGCTCTTTGCTCCAGCATCATCACATTTGCATCTTTTTTTTTTTCTCTTTTTTTATTTCTTACTATTGCAATTTCATTGTTACTAAGAGAAGTTTTGACCAGCTTGATTTGGAAGCCACATGAAACGTAAGTCACCCTTTCAAACTCTGGGCATTAAGTCCATTGATCTGGCCTGTAATTTTCCACCATCCATGTTTTGCAGCTTGTCATTAATGGGCCCGGAGGCCTTCCAGAGGTATTGGAATACACTAAAGCTTCAGGGAGGGATTATTGGCAGAGGTATTGCTCTTTCCTGTGTCTGTTCTTTCAGCCCATCCTAACCACTAGAAAGCAGAACAAATGCTGCCTAGTTGGCTGGACCTTAAGCAGCATCCGCTACAAATCTTTCCTTCACAACAAAAATAGCAACAATTTACCCTCACCGTCTTCAGGGAAATGTGTCAGAACTAGAAATCTGTGTTAATGCTAGCATAGCTGTGCAGTTGCCTGCCTTGCTGCTTCAATTCCCTCCTAGCCGCTCTCACAGAGTAATTCCTTCTATGCTCCAGTCAATACTTTGAAAATCCAAGCACCTGCCATCGCTTCGGTGAGTAATCCTAATGTGAGTATGTGTGGGACTTCCTCATGGAAAAGCTGCAGGATCAGTCTCTGGATTTGCCAGAACTGTAAGTTTTCTGAAGTAATGAGACGTGGGTGCTCAAATTACACCAGAGAAAAGCTACCTGTATAAATACAACTGTATAATGCAGAAACTGGGGACCCCATCATCAAAGGAAGGAAACCTCTATAAAGCCTCAAGACATCTTGGCATTTTTCTAGCCTCCATAAGTAGCTGTAAGCCTACGTACAAAATCCTTGGACCCATGAGAGGCTGAAATCGTCCTCCCTGCAGCAACATGGGGAGAGATCCCAGCCAGGGGTACACGATGGAGGGACAGGATTCCCCAGGGTAAAGCGAGCAGGGGGACAGCATCTCTCCATGAGAGGGAGACAAGGAAAGGGCTGAAGGGCAGCTTTCCTCCTCCTCCTCCCCAGAGCTCAGCTCACCACCAGGCAGGACAGGGTCTGTGCTGTTCATGGCCACCACAGTGCAAAGGGCAGAGCACAAGGTGAGGGGAGCAGCCAGGGGTCATTGAGCCTGCCCTTCTCTCCTGAACCAAGTTCAGATCTTGGTCAATGCTTCTGCCTGCCAGCAAAATGCGCTGGTAAAGTTTTTTGATACTGGAATATAAATGGCTCTGAGTCATGAACCTCTTTCTGTTCACAGCCAACACCCTGAAAAGCTCTAGTGGGGCCATTTGAAAGAAAGCCTGCAATGATCCACTCATTAAAAAGCTGATGCTAAGTGACCTGCAAGCAGAGGTCCTGGAGCAGTAACAGCCATTCAGAGAGCTGTATTGTTATCTGCAGGGCTCGTGTGATTCATGGTGCAATAAGAAAACCCTCCTAACGGGGCTGAGAGGCTTGGCTCATACTGACCAAACTTTTCAGTCGGTCCCACAGGTATGGACACTCAGTAGAGGTGCTCCTAGAAAAGTTCAGGAGAGCCAGTGCTGCAGTTTGGAGAGGGATCCTCAGCCTGCATCCAACTTTGATTTAGGGGGGTGGTGGCAGGGGGGAACATACCCCAAGTGCCTCAGGGAGGAGGAACAGCCGTCCCAGAGATGGCTGCTTTGTGAAAGCCTGTTCTGCACACACAAACACACACACACATGCTTGTGCGCCTATGCGTTCGCCTGCCCCTTCCACACGTAGCAAATGTCTCACATGTCAGATGAGAGCAGGGAAGGGGAAGCGCAGCAGGACTTGCCAGCTTCTCACCTTCAGGAAATCACCCCCTTGGCAGTCGATGTTTACAAAGTTGTAGTCTATCGTGATGAGCTCCTCGGGCTCCCCAATGAAGAAGGTTGCGCAGTGCAGCTGTGGTTGCTCTGCAGTGAAGGTGAACTGCCCCTCTATACTCAGCATGTCAATGCACCCTGGAGAAACAGAGACACAGGGCTGCTGCCTCAGCCTGCTTGGGAGGGAGACTCAGTGCTAGCTCCCATGGCACAGGGAATGGGGGAGCGAGGAGAGACCCCCACACTGAGACCCAGCTGGCAGTGAGGAGAGGGAGACCCAGAGAAGCAATTAGGAGCCTGCTGAGCATCAGAGGATGAATAGTAACTTGCAGGTGTGGGTACACACATGTGATGGGGGGGTGTGGGGGGGGATGACACGTTGAAGCATCTCTGAGCAGAAAACTCTGTGTGTGTGTGTATGCACAAACACCCCATTCCTTCAGATTTCTCTCTAACCACAGCTTTTCCACCTGCCCCGTGCCCTGGAGATATGACCCTGCCTAGGGACACGGGTGGACGATCCCCATCCTCCTCCCATTATTGGGGACCCTCAACTCTGAGCCTCAACCTCTTTTCAGAGCCCCGTTTCAATCCCTTTGCCTCAACCACAGTTTTTCTGAGATTTTAACACTTTGTCCTTCTTCTCCCCCCCACCCCTTGCAAAAAGCACCTGCAGCTCTGTCACTCCTCTTTCATCTCCCCGAGCCCTGAGCTCACCCCAGGACTCTCCCACCCACCAATGGTCCCCACCAGAGCACCAAAGAAACTTACGGAGCGATCGCCGGTAGATCTGCCCTGCAGACAGCTCTCGCTTCAGATCTTCGCTGAGGAGTAGGAAGGGCTCATCTTCACCAGCATCCCTCACCTGGTGAGGGAAAGAAGGCAAGAAGAGGCTGGGGCAAAGTGAAATGCAGCCCCCTCCCTGCACTTCTCAAGAACAGGCACCAGCAAGTTAAATCCCTCCTCCAGAAACGGTGCAGCTGTGGAAGAGCTCAGTCAGAAAGCTGCCAACCTGCAGTAGAGAGGAACAAACCTGGCACCTAAGAGGTGAGCCCAGCAGCTCAGTGCACAGAGTGTCTCTTAAATCCTCAGCAAAAATTCAAGTTTGAGAAAAGGGAGGATAAACAAATGGGGGTGGGTGGGACTGTTGTATTAATGTTACCCAGGTGTAGGTTTAATGCAGGAGGAGTGGGAAGAGGAGGGGAGAGAGGAAAAAGCACGATGCTTGAAAGCTGGGAGTACAAGTTAGAAGGCAGCAGCTAAAAGCACAGTGAAGCGCTTTAGTTGCTAGCCCCATTGCTCACCTCTAGGTATCTGGTTTCCCCCTTGGAGGCTGCCAGGAAGATGAGAATGAAGTGGCATTGAAACTGGAAAGCAGACGGCATGCTGACACCTCCTCTGGCGGCCCTCCCTCTCTTCCCGTGGCCAAGTTCCTCCCCGTCTGCACGGGTAGGCAGGAGCCGCTGGGGTATCTTGGAGAGACTCTTTTTATAGAGCTGTTGGGAGGGGAGGCACTTGGTCCCCGTACTGATAGGGTAACCCATGGTAACTGAATTCCTCTTGCAGTAACAGAGTACGTGGGCATGACGAGGGTCCAAATCACAGCCACAAATTTCCAAGCCAGTCGAACTCCCCTTGCCGGCAGATGTCTTTTTTACTTATCTGTCTGGCGGAGCTGAAAAGCTCTGAGGAGGAGAGCCTGTCCCCCTGCAGCCGAGGCACTCACGCAGTGTGTTTATTTCCCGTTACTCCAAAGCGAGGAACAAGGAGCATCCCTCCCTCCTCCTCTTCTTCTGCTTTCCAGTCCCGGGGCATTTCGGACGTGCAGGGCTCCCTGCCTCCCTCCTGCTGCTCCATGACATGCAGCTCTCCGCAGCCCCTGTGCCAGGTGCTTCCCACCAGCCAGGCCTGGGTGGGCACCCCTGCATCCCCGCCAGCCTTGCAGCCTGGGGCCAGCATCTCCCCGGGGCTGGGGGACCTGCTGGCTTCCAGGTCCTGCGCCTGCAGCTGGGGCACAAGGGCTCTGCAGCAAGTACACAGGCAAAACCAGACAGCTCTCCCCACCAGACACAGCTTTTGTACAGAAATTAGGAAAACTTGGGGTTCCCAAGGGCATGTTCCCCACAGAACAGCTGATACTGCTCCAGCCCTGATCCTCAAGGGAAATCTGAGAAAGAGCTTCAAAAGGTGAACCTGGGAATGAAAATTCGTAACTCTACAGAGTACTAAAAATCAGGAACTCAGCACAGATATTAGTTTTAGGGTATATTCTTGTTGTCCCCTGACCTGGGATGAATCCTCAATACTCTGCAGACAATAACTACCCTTGCCCCATCTCAGGCTTCTTGCTAACGTCTCCTTCTGCTCTATGCTTCCCTGTCAAACTGTCACTTTGGTTGAGCAAAACTTAGAAATAATGCAATCTGGATTTGCAAGGCTTTAAGTTTGCTGCTTCTGATTTCATTGTTAGGGCTTGTGGACAGAAACATTTCCTTGCTGTTCGACCCAACTTGTTGGTCGAACAACAAATAAATAAATCTTATTCTGGCTCTGACCTTATTATGCTGTAATTCTTATTCTTATGGTTTACTTTAATGTAAACTATAATATTGCTCCATATCTACATGGCACTTCTGTGAATTTGCCATATTTGTGTGGGTTTCAAGAGCATAAAAAATACTAAGGAAATGGAAAATATTATTTTTGAACTTTGACATCAAGTTGCATTCAAAGATTGTTAAAACTGCTTTGGGGAACTGCGTAGTTAATTACTGCATGAACAAAATATAAACTATAATATTGCTCCATATCTACATGGCACTTCTGTGAATTTGCCATATTTGTGTGTTTCAAGAGCTTGGTTGAGCAAAACTTAGAAATAATGCAATCTGGATTTGCAAGGCTTTAAGTTTGCTGCTTCTGATTTCATTGTTAGGGCTTGTGGACAGAAACATTTCCTTGCTGTTCGACCCAACTTGTTGGTCGAACAACAAATAAATAAATCTTATTCTGGCTCTGACCTTATTATGCTGTAATTCTTATTCTTATGGTTTACTTTAATGTAAACTATAATATTGCTCCATATCTACATGGCACTTCTGTGAATTTGCCATATTTGTGTGGGTTTCAAGAGCATAAAAAATACTAAGGAAATGGAAAATATTATTTTTGAACTTTGACATCAAGTTGCATTCAAAGATTGTTAAAACTGCTTTGGGGAACTGCGTAGTTAATTACTGCATGAACCAAGGCTAAATTAATTCATCTTCATGTACTTACCTTGAATTGTTTAAATACTGTGATTTTAGGCAAGGATTATCAGAAGCACCAAGGGAGTTTGGAATCTGAAATCCATCGAAGTTCTTTGGGAATTACAAGTTTTGTTGGAAAACTGCAGGGTTTAATTCCAACTTGCATTAGAGTATGGCTGGGAGGTTAATCAGAGTGATGAGAGGTGCTCTGGAGACCACCAAGATCCTGCAGGACCAGGAGGGGCTGCAGGGGAGTCCAGCCTCATTCGCTTTTCTTATCACACATTCACCTTCTGAAGAGATGAAGAAAGTCAGGATTACAGAATGACCTCTCCACTCCCCATCTTTGAGTCCCAGTTCTGGCTGGGGTGTCCTAGTTTGCCCTGCTGGCCCCTAACCTAGACCTCAGATGCTGAGTCCTTGAATATCTTCAGTAAAGGAGAGAGAGTGTGTGATTTTGTGAGAATTTGACTAGTTACTGAAGATTTGGTTAAATTCAGCTCCAAAAATGAGTGAAGGACAAATGACACTGCAGTTAAATCAATGCGACTGTCTATTAAACCAGCTGTGAGGTGATCTACTCAGAAAAAAACATACCAACAGTGATGTCACCATATTTTAAACTCTTGCCCATGAATAGCTGAGATCCAGGCTAGCATAGCATTCACTGGTGGGGTTGCCCAGGCAAGCACATAGCCCCAGGGCCTGGAGGACATCCCGGCAGATGAGGTGTGGGAACTGTCCTTCTCCAACCAACAAGGCGGTGGGAAGGAGGATAGGAGCTACTTCCACATCTGTTGCAATTTCTTACTCACACAGGACCTATGGCGGCTCTGCATTTCCTATGCAACATCTGCAGGAGTTTGCTTTGAGGATTATAAATATTCTGTATAACGTTAGTGCAAAAGCTAAACTCAGATGCCCCTTGCTGTGGATGTGGAGCTTGGTTTTAACAGAGGTGCTAATGCAACCTGTCATCTACTCTGCATTGTCTTCTGCTTTGCATTTCAGATCTGGGCTCAGCAGGAGCTGATGAAGCATGATGACATCCTGTCCAGCCTCATTGCAAAGCCTCCCAGTGCCTGGGGTAATTCCCTGTGTCCTCAAACACAGGGCTGCCCTCAGCCCCCAAAATCTTGTATGCTTCCCTTTGTGCAGCTCTAGCGCCTGTGGAAGGCAAGTATTTGGGATGGGAATAGGGAACCACATGCAGAGAGGTGCAGCTGCTGCTGCCGGCAGGGACTCTGCCCTGTAGTGCCTCCGCACCTGACTCAGGTGGAGCCTGGACAGATAGACCCCCAAAGGGGACCAGTCACAGGGAAAGGAGGGGGCTCATCTCCCAGCCCTACATCCTGACTGTCAGAGGGTGAGGGAGGATGGGGAAGCACCTCCTCGCTTGGCAGTGCTGCCTCCTCACAGGTTATCACAGGTCCCCTTCCCCTCTGCACCTCCCTTTGCCCATTCCAGTGCTGCTTTTGTTTAAGGCCACTGGCAGAGACTGACCTCTTCAGGAGATAAGATTGCAACTAACAGAGCAAAGAAAAATCAGCAGTTTAAACAGGGTTCAAAACATCCCTGCAGCGTTTCAGAAGGGAAAAACATCTTCAACACAATACAAACCCTTGGGTGAATGAGGAGGGTGTCATTTTTCTTTCATGGGGTTGAGTCATGTTAACACTTTGTAGGACAATCTTTTTATTTAATATCAAATTACATAACACAGTAAAACGCATTCCCAGTCTGACCCTGCTAGGGGCTAGATAATCCAGCTGCTCTAATGCTATGACACCTTGACTCTGCTGGCAACCGTAACTCACCCTGGGAGCAGCCCCTTTCCCTGGCAGAAGCGATGGGATGCCAGCATGCTGGTGAGAGGCTGGGCTGCATGCAGGGTATCACCCACCCTGCTCTGCTATGGCTCAGGGGGGTATTGTTGGGGCACCTCAGCCTTTGCAGAGCCTCAGGTTGTTAATGTAGTGTTGGTGGGTTTTTTATGCCATTCAGCTACGTGCTTGGGAGGATCCACCTGCCCCACGGTGGAAATCCTCCACCTCGTGCACAGAGCTTGTAGGTGTCTTGTCAGCTATTATAGCAGAGAAGAGATCCCAGCTGTGGTGAGAGGTGGAGAAAATACAGCTGAAGAGAGTAGTGAAACAAACTCCATTTACCCTCCCCCATGGTGATCAAGTGATGGTATGTGCTATAATACAGGTGGTAAATGCAGTTTCTTCTCCTCAAAGGTAAGGTAGTTGGTACAGGAAGATTGTGGATGATGCTCTTGGTATTGAGATTTCTTAGTGAGCAGTGTTTGAGCTACAGACGCTCCTTAGGGATCCCTCCCTGATGCAAAGAGGAGCCAGGTGTTATGAAGCCTTTCTGCTCTCTAAAAGGGTCCCTTGAGTCCCCAGCTCACTAACACAGCACCCTGCCATGCTTTAACTCCTGCAAAAGATCATTTTATTTCAGCACTTGCTTCACCACAAACACACTGCAGGCTATGGCTCCCATTCCCTCCACTCAATGTCAAAATTTCACCTGCAGCACATCTCACCCACCACCCAGGTAAAAGGATGAACCTTGAGGATTGCTGACTCTGGAGCGCTTGGACAAACCACAGCTCCTGGACTTCCTACCAGCTATTTGTTGAAAACCACAATCTTCTGGTTTGGGCCATATTTTAAACCCACTGTTTCTTCCCCTCCAGAGCACCTCCCTCCTCAGCTGCAGCCTGACTGCTGGCACAAGCAGCTGGAGCAGATCAAACCTCCTTCTAGCACCGGAACCTTTAGCAAGGGTTCATTTTCCTGTTTAGACGCAACCCCATGCAGGCTCTGACTCCACGCCACAGGGAGCAGCCCAGCTGCTGCACGTCCCATGCAGGCCCCTCTGCTTGTCTGTGCCTGGTGGTTTCTTGAACTGATGAGAGCAGCAGTGAGTACACAGTGCTACACTACTGACTGCTCAAGCGTAGAGGATTTCTCCTGCCTCGGGCGCTCCATCCTCGGCTGCTGATGCTGATTACTCACTGCTGCTCAGAGCTGGCTGGAGATGCGGTGTGGGGCGATGCACAGTGTGAGACGTCTAGCTGGACTTTAAAATTCCTATCCTGTCAGCTGCTAAACATTGTGCTCAGCTACATTTATTTCCCTTATGCTCATCCCCACTGTAACTCAGAATTAATTCAGGGACTAGTTTTTCCTTTCCCCTACAGTATCTGGGAGATGTAGTACTAGCCAGTCCTTATTGTGTGGCTGCAGGTCTCACATCGACATCGTGTCTTTGCACGGTAGGGGACTGCTGCACATCACTTGTATTTTATTACACGTGTATGCCA